GGGTGACAGAGTGAGACTCCAACTCAAAAAAAAAAAAAATAGTCTGTGAAGGGATATATAGACTTCATCAGGGGTCTGAGGCACAATAAAATAACTTTTTTTGTAGACCTCTTAAAATGAGTTGTAAATTGTCTAATTCTTTTTTTCTACTTGAACAATCAAGATAAATAGTACATGGCTCAAGTATTAACTAGACCAAAAGAAGTTTTTAAAAAGGCTATAGTTTCAATTCTTTATTTGATCAGTAGATAAATAATAGAAGGTAAAATGACTATAATAAAATTATAAACGATCTGTGTTTTTGTGTAGTTTGTGTTATTCTCTTTCATATATTCAATTTCTGACTGTATTGGCATATAACTTTCAAGTAACTATTATGAATAAATTTTTTTTTTTTAAGTTGGAGTTTCACTCTGTCACCCAGGCTGGAGTGCAGTGTCATGCTCACGGCCACCACAGCCTTGACCTGCTGGGTTCAGGTGATCCTTCTGCCTCAGCCTTCCAAGTAGCTGGAACTGCAAGCACTCGCTCGGCTAATTTTTTAAAATTTATTTTAGACATGAGGTCTCGCCAAGTTGTCCTGGCTGGTCTTGAACCCGTGGGCTCAGGTATTCCTCTCACCTCGACCTCCCAAAGTGCTCTGATTATAGAAAATGTTTTCTAACTAAATTAAGTTTTAGGTATTTGTTCTTTGAATCCTGTAAAATTCCAAAATAAAGTCTACTGTAATTTAGAAATATTTTCAAATTGGGAATGCCAGCTACTGATAATGATAATAAATTGATACCATTTATTGAGCCCTTGCTAGTCTAGGAGCAAATGCCTAGTCTCAGAGTTTTACATGTAACAACTCATTTAATTCACACAACAACTCCCTGAGATAGGTACTGTTTATCCCATTTTATACACAAGCATGCTGAGGCATTTGCCTGAGTACCTTGACCAAAGTCTCACCTCAATTTTGTGGTGATTTTGAAAATACAGAACTCTAGGCTGGCTGTGGTAGCTCATGACTGTAATCTGAGGCGGAAGGATTGCTTGAGCCCAGGAGTTCAAGACTAACCTGGGCGATATAGCAAGACCTCATCCTTTTTTTTGTTTTTTTTTTTGGAATCGGCATCTAACTCTCGCCCAGCCTTGACCTGCTCGGTTTAGGCAATCCTTCGACCTCAAGTAGCTGGAACTACAGGCATGTACCATCACACCTGGCTAATTTGTTGTTGTTGTAGAGATGAAGTCTTGCCGTATTGCCCAGGCTGACCTTGAACCCGTGGGCTTAAACAATCCTCTCACCTCCACCTCCCAAAGTGCTAAGATTACAGGCGTGAGCCACTGTGACTGGCACATCTTTTTAAAAAAGAAAGCAAATAATTTTTTAAAAATTAGACTCATAGGTAGAAATTGAAGGTAATAAATGTTTTCTCAAGAGCAAAGACTCAAATTTGATAAAGCGATTACTACTTTTTGGATTATTGTATGATTTTTTCCTTTCCCAGCAAACATTTATTGATCATTTTGTATGAGCCAGGCAGTGCACATGATGAACTGAGTGGTTCCTCTTCTTGCTGTTCTATAAATGTTTGTTTTATCTGAACTTTCCCCTACATACTCTTCCTCAGTGCTGCCATCCATTCCCTTGGTTTTAATTACATCTATCTGCTGATACTTCAGGTCAGATCGCTTTTGAGCTTGAGGCATGAATCTCTCTCTACCTGCTGTCCCCATCTACACTTGTCTAGCTTGCATCTCAGCCTGTTTACAACTTCATCTCCATTCCCCTTTTGTACCTCTGCTACATTCACTCAGCAAGGACATTCTTTGACACTTAGAATGCCACTACCCTTAGAGTCAGGCTACCATCATCTTTCATTTGGATTCTTTTCACAGCCTTCTAACTAGTTTCCTTCCGTTTTTACTGCCTGCAAAGCCATTATTCACATTGTTTTACATTTGTATTTTGGGGAGTTGTAAAAAACACAAGTTTAACTGGGCTCTGTGGCTCAGCCTGTAATCCTGCACCTTTGGGAGACTGAGGTGAGTGGATTACCTGAGCTCGCCAGTTCGAGACCTGCCTGGGCAACTTGGCGAGACCTCATCTCTACAACAAATCAAAAAAATTAACCAGATGTGGTAGCGCGCGCCTGTAGCTCCAGCTACTTGGAAGGCTGAGGCGGAAGGATCATCGGAGCCCAGCAGGTCGAGGCTGCGGTGGCCAGGAGCGGCCACTGCACTCCAGTCTGGGCGACAGAGTGAGACTCCAACTAAACAAATATATAAAAATAAAGTAAAAAACACAAGTTTGATAGCATATGTAATTTTCCTACTTACAGTCCTTCAAAGTTTCATTTTGCCTTTAGGGTAAAGTCCAAATTACCTGAACACTGTTTACAAGACCTTCCAGGGGCTGACCTTGACTGTTTTCCTGCTTTTGTCTTTCTATACCACACTTACTCTCCTTGTTACATTTTATACTGTGTCCATGCTGTATGAACACATCATAGTAAAAGAAGTTAGAATAGATGCTATGAAAGTTTTCAAAAGCTTATCTCCATTTCTGTACTTATCTCTGATAACAGTTTGTGAACCAGCACAGTCTGAACCACTAAACTGTAGTACACCACGTGGATGAATTTTGCAAGCAATATAGTAAGCTCAGAAAAGCAAGTCACATAAGACTACAAACAGTCTGATAACACTTTTCTAAAACTAGGGTTATGTGACTATAACATGAAACTAAACAAATTTCAGAAAAGTGCTTCTGTGAGAAGAGTAGAGGAGAAAAGAAATGTCCAGGTGCAATAATGATAGTGTTCTAAGATTGGGTAGTAGGTTGGCATGTCAATTTTATTGTGAGACTTTACAAGTCCCTTATTTTTTGCATGTATTTTGTTGTGTATCAAAAATTAAATTCTAAAATTAGTTTTAAAAATTAGAATAAGATGGGGCAAAATTAGTGAAGTTCCTTATTTCTTAGTGCATCAATCCTGAAAGAAGACAAACACAAAGACAAACCAAGAGTGCAGTGTCACATGAATACGGAAACACTGGATCCATTATTTAAATGGCTGGAGAGGTTTTAGTATGAAGGAAGCCTTTCCTTTGAATAAAAAAGAAGCAAAATCATAACAATTTTTAGAATCCCAGGCTATGAGTTAGCAGATGCCATTTCAGAAAATAAAACACAATGGCATTCTAAATTTTTTAGAAGGCAGTAAGTTTGGGTAGCCTTTTCTTCATGTTTGGAGACTACAACCAACAGGAAAAAAAGAAAAAGTATTGCGATGAACTCATAGAATACTGACAATTGAAAATTATTGTTCACATTCTTTGGTTGGAGAATATTTTAAAAGCTTTCATTGAGTGTTTCTCTTTGAAAAACAAGCTAATAGAAAAATATTGCTTTTGCCAGAAAAGTAAATTTAGAAGTTTTCAACCCAGTTTGCACATTAGAATTACCTAGGGTACTTGTAAAAAATAATTTATTGAAGTGAAACTCAACGTAATGTAAAATTAACCATTTTAAGGTAAACAATTCAGCGGCACTTAGTACATTTATAATGTTGTACAACCACCACCTCTAGTTCCAAAACAATTCTATTACTCCAAAGTAAAACCCCTTTCCTATTAAGAATTTTCTCTCCATTCTCTCCTTCCTAGTCTCTGGCAACCACTAATCAATCTTCATTGTTTTTCTGTGGATTTACCTGCTCTGGATAGTTCATATAAATGGAGTCATTCAATATGAGACCTTTTGTATTTGACTTCTTTCACTTAGTGTAATGTTTTTGAGGTTCAGTCATATTGTAGCATGTATCAGTTTTTCATTTTCTTTTATGCCATTGATGGACATTCAGGCTGGTTTTTTGGCCATTGTGAATAGTGCTGCCATGAACAGTATGTATAAGTACTTGTTTGAGTACCTGTTTTCAGTTCTTTTGGACACATACCCAGAAGTAGAATTGTGTGGTCATATGATAATTCTATGTTTAACTTTTGTTGGAACCACCAAATTGTTTTCCACAGCAGCTGAACCATTTGGCATTTGTATTTAAAAATACACAGAGCTGAAAATAATTAATTTTATTGTATTTTTCCAGCATAATTAGTATACGATTGATTGGGAGAGGAAGACTGGTCTTCACTGTGGAGTTTGAAAAGTGCATAGTTCGTTCATTTTTATTCCTGTTTAATATTATACTCTATGAATATACCACTATCTACTTGTATTCATTGTCCTTTTTGATGAACACGTGAAGTGTTTCTGACTTTTGACATGTGAACATTGCTATGACCATCCTTCTATAAGACTTCTAGTGCAGTTGGCATCAATTTCTAGGGTATATACCTAGGAATGGACTTGCTGTGTGGTAGGGATGTACATCTGATAGTGTCACACTTTTCTACTATTTTACTATTTCTTCTCCCACCATTGCTGCATTTGAGTTCCTGCAGTTTCTCTACTAAGATTTGATTCCTGACCGGGCTTGCTGACTCAGCCTGTAATCCCAGCACTTTGGGAGACCGAGGCAAGTGGATTGCCTGAGCCTGTGTGTTCAAGACCAGGCCAAGCAACTTGGCGAGACCTCATCTCTACAATAAATAAAAATTTAGCTGGGCGTGGTAGCATGCACCTGTACTTAGAAGACTGAGGTGGAAGGATCGCCTGAGCCCAGCAGGTCGACGCTGGGGTGGCTGTGAGCATGCCACTGTACTCCAACCTGGGCAACAGAGTGAGACTCCAACTCAAAAAAAAAAGATTTGACTCCTACTCTAAAATATCCTGCTGTTGTTTCATGGGGGTTCTGGGGATTTGGGAGGGAAATCTCAATATCTGTTCCTTGATTCAGGTTTCAGTTAGTGGAATTAAGTGGGCATCTGACCGAAGAATGGGATTTTTCCTCTTGTTGGTACATGCATGATAAAATAATTTTAGAGAAGTTATTTGTCTTAGAGACTGCCTGATTGTGAGAGTAAATAGATTTCTATTTTTATCTGACCAGGAATCACTCTTCATTCTAAGAAAAAACTGGAAGCACAATGGGAGATGACAGTGAGTGGTTGAAACTGCCTGTTGATCAGAAATGTGAACACAAGGTAAGACATTCCTGAGATTCAAATTTCAGTGCCATTGGCTTGTTTTGTCAGCAATTATAATAATCTTAGAAGCATGTGAAAACATTGGTAGCTTCAAAAACACTGGTGCCTTGTTAGATACATGTTATTTTATCTCATTGAAAACAGGTTTCTCTAGCTCCATTAAAATTTTTTATTTTTTAAACATATTTTTTATTTTAAAATTGTTGTGGGGTACATTTAAGGGTTAGGTATACAAATATGCATTGCTCAGACACCCTTGTTGATAAGGGGTACCCCCCCATCCCCAGACAGATATTGACTACCGTTAATCCCACCTCCCTTCCCCTTTCTGCCCTCCCCCATAGTTTCCCGCCACTGTCAATCCTTTCCTTATAGTATTATGATAGATGTTCAAGGTCCACTATATGAGTGAGAACATGTGATACTTGGATCTTTGTTTCTGTGAGAGATCACTCAGTATTATAGACTCTAGTTCCATCCAGTTTGCTGCGAAATTCATGATTTTGTTCTTTTTTAAGAGTCTCTGAAAATAATTCAAATAAAGAAGATATATTAGTGAAGTGAAAAGTAAGTTGTATCTATAAAAAGTTATTAACTGGCTAGTCTTGCCATCTTCTATTACAGAATAGTCAGTATACTTGGATAGCTAAATACTTAGTGTTATTTTATTGTGTAGAAACTCTTATTTGGTTCTGATTTTGGCTTTAGAATGCCAGTATTTTTTAGGTTCTCTGATATATATAATCTGTATTGCAATATCTACTCTCAGAAGCTACCAATCTTTATTGTAAGCTAACAAGAGACAATTTATATAACATTATTTAGTGGGCAACTTTTCAAATTATCTTGGTTTTCCCCCAGCTATGCCTCTAGTTTCTTCCATTTTTAAAACAACAAATCTACCCGTTTATAGTAGATTTTAGAATTCTATTCTCTCTCTTGTAAAAATTTCTTGTATTTTAAGTTCTCAGGTTAACCATTTTATGTTCTTGACAGTTCTTTTAAAGTTTATTTGCATCTGAGTATTCAAGATTTGTATTTGTTGATTGTTAAAAATACAGAATAGGTACATTAACCCACACAGTTGTATACATACAGTTATACCTATGTAGACTAGGAATTTGGAGCCTTGGTCCCTATATTCTCCACAGACCCACTCCTTCATCCTCTGCAACAAATTAGCTGGGGTTGAATACCATATCAGTAAGCAGCATGTTACCTCTTCAGATAAGGCCAAATTAACAGCTAGTTCGTTTTTATTCTAATTAGCATAAAAATAGTTGTATATAGTACATTAAATTGCAGCAAAACAAATTTGGGGGAGAATTTTGGAACTTATTTAGAATCTTAGTTATTTGTAATGTTGGTTTTTGGTAGTTTTTTTTTTCCCACTGAAAGGAATAGACAGATAAATCTCTTAAAGACTTTCCAAGTTTCGATTAGTTAGTACGTGCTAAGAGCTTTTCAATCTAGTGGATTTGGTGCATTCTTTTCCATTTGTTGAGCATTTGTTATATGTTTTTGAAACTTAAAAGAATAGAAATTATGAATCTGGTTTAAATTGGTTGGTAAATGGCCAAGTGTAACACTATGTTATACTTCACTGTAGTGTTGCAGAATGTGTAGTGCCTTCTTCCTAAGTGCTTAGAAGCATCCTGTTGTAGGCTAGGAAGCATTCTTTCCTTTGAAGGTGAGCACAGCACCTGACCCGAATTACATTTTTATTTAAATAAATAACATATAAATTATTTATCCTATTTTTCAGTCATATATTGATCCTTCTCTCTTTTAACTAATATAGTGTTGAGGACAAACATCTAATTCTCTTACTAGTGCCCAACATAGTAAATGCAGATTTATCATTTAACTTCCCCAAATCATTTCATTGCTTTCCTATTGCTCTTAGAATAAAGAGTGGAATCTTTGATTTGGCCTTCATCGTCCTGCATGATCTGGCCCTTTCCAACCCTCTCTAGCTTGTTTCTCTGCTTTCCTTCTCTTCCTATATTGTACTCTGCTTTCCTTCTCTTCCTGTATAGTAGTTGGAAATACCATATTCCCTGCTGCCATTGAGCCTTGGAATACATTGCTCCTTTCCTGCAAGGTGCTCTCTCCCCCTTTGCCACTCTTTCCTGATTAGATCCAAAACCTTTTTCCTAATACTAAGACAGAGTAAGCCTCTTATAATGCACACTTTGATGGCACCAGGTTTCTTCTCCTTTGTAGCATTTAATGTTCCATTATTTTAATCTTATTTGTATTTTGATTAATATCATTCTCTCCTCTTGGAATGTAAATTCTACAATGGCCAGGGCTGTATTAATTTTTTTTTTTTGAGTTGGAGTCTCACTCTGTCGCCCAGACTGGAGTGCAGTGGCCGCTCCCGGCCACCGCAGCCTCGACCTGCTGCGCTCTCGCGATCCTTCCGTCTCAGCCTTCCCAGTAGCTGGAATTACAGGCATGCACTACCACACCCGGTTGATTTTTTTATTTATTGTAGAGATGAGGTTTCGCTGCCCAGGCGGGTCTTGAACCCGCAGGCTCAGGCAATCCACTCACCTCAGCCTCCCAAAGGCATGGGATTACAGGCCGAGCCACTGAGCCCGGCTTTAATTTTTATTTAGTAAATACCTTTGAAGAAATTAATGAAAAAAAAATTTCAGTAAAAGTATCTGAAATCTACTAACTAAAATTAATGTATAGTATAAAGCCACCTAATAATTACACAAATAGAGCCAAAAACAGCATATACTTTGGAAATTGTGCATTTCATCAGGGTGATTTATCAAGTATGAGTTGTCACATCTTTAATGCCATATCAAAAGGAGTAATAACTAATAACTGGATACAAGGTGAGATTCATTTATAATGACCTGCTGTGAATTTTAGGTGGACTTGGCAGAGTATCATAAATATTAAACACTTATAAGATGACTTGTAAGAAGTTTATTAGCTAATTTTTTTTGGAAAACTATCTGAATTTCTTAAACTCTTTTTTTTTCAGGTCTTTGTTTAACAGAATATAGGTATAGGTCATCCATTTTTACTCTTACCACCCCCCCAAATTAAGAGTAGATGATAATCGGTACATTTTTTTTCAAAATATTAACTTTTCTTTTAGCTATGGAAAGCAAGGTTAAGTGGGTATGAAGAAGCCCTGAAGATCTTCCAGAAAATAAAGGATGAAAAGAGTCCAGAATGGTCCAAATTTTTAGGATTGATCAAAAAATTTGTCACTGATTCCAATGCAGTGGTTCAGTTGAAAGGATTAGAAGCTGCACTTGTTTATGTTGAAAATGCCCATGTAGCAGGAAAGTAAGTACTTTCTTTATAATATTTCTGGCATTAAAAAAAATCCCTGTCTGTTGCTACAAAGATGAAGTTATGTTTATTTGTGGATCACTGTCCTTAGTTATTAGTAGTTTTAGAATGTATTAATTTTTTTTTTTTTTTTTGAGTTGGAATCTCACTGTCGCCCAGGATGGAGTGCAGTGGCACGCTTATGGCCACCCTAGCATCGACCCGCAGGGCTCGGGTGATCCTTCCACCTCAGCCTTCCAAGTAGCCAGAACTACTGGCACACACTACCATGCCTGGCTAATTTTTTATTTATTGTAGAGATGCGGGCTCAGGCAATCCATTCCTCGGCCTCCCTAAGTGCTAGGGTTACAGACTGAGACACCAACTCTGGCCTAGAATATATTAATTTTCTATCTTAGTACCTTGTTACTTGTTTTTCATTCAGTCTTTATTCATTCTTGGAAATCTAAATGGTACATGAGCTCTCTAAAGAGAAGTAAATTAGAAATCAAATTTTGAGTTTTTAACCTTAAGGTTTGATGAGCAAGTGGTTTCCTTTTAAATAATGGGAATTATTCCAAACTAAAAAGGAAAGTATTTAGTAACTTTTAAAAGTAACTGAGAAGTTGTCAATAAAGAAATTATCAAATTTCAATGAAGACATTTGGGCATTACAAAAAACTAAATTTTTTATGGTGATTCTCAGCCAGGTGATCTTAGAATCACATCTTTCTCCCTGTGGTCATTAGGCATTTTTATCTCCTGGGTTAGACAATGCTAACTACAACTTCAATGAATCCGGGTCCACTTGACTTACTCTATGGATGGCAGAGGCTTCTACTACTATTCCATACCTCATAGACCTGATTTTCCTAACTCTGGTCTTTGTACCATTGAAAAGAACCCTCCATATTTTAAAAAAAAGTTGAGACCTTTGACTTAATTGCACAATAAGTAGATAATTTACTCTAAAGGTTATATCAGTAGAGATAATTATTAATTTGAGAGTTTGGTTAACCAGCATCAACTGTGTTTCCTGTGTTTCCCTTGTCATTAGTGAAACTCTTGCTCTTTTATTTAGTTTTTCTTTTGATACCGGTAACTGTTTCTTGACAAATGCTGCATATAATCCCAACCCATCCAATTCCTCTGATTCCCAGTATTACCGGTTTTGTTTAATTTATTTTCAAAGCAATAAAGTTACTGTAGAGTCTTGCCAGGCAGTTAAAAGCAGTCATTTCCTCCATGAAGAATTCTCTTGTCCTAAGAAGTGTTTAAAATGACTTTAAAATTTTTTAAAGCAAGAAGTCTGTAGTCCTAATTTTGTAAAATACATTTGTATATTCATATATGTGTGTACGCACATACACACACATACATGCTTAGAGAAAAGTCTGGAAGGCTGGATATCAAAAAATTGAAAGTAGTTTTCTCGGGTGGTTCTAGGGTTTAAAGGAATTTTTCCTTTCTTTTTGTTTTTTTTTTTTGAGTTGGAGTCTCACTCAGTCACCCAGACTGGAGTGCAATGGCTGCTCCCAGCCACCGCAGCCTCAACCTGCTGGGCTCTGGCGATCCTTCCGCCTCAGCCTTCCAAGTAGCTGGAACTAGTTTTTTTATTTATTGTAGTGTATGTATTGTAAAAAAAACCTGGCGAGTTTTTTTATTCATTGTAGAGATGAGGTCTCGCCAAGTTGCCCAGGCAGGGCTCGAACCCGCGGGCTCAGGCAATTCACTCACCTTGGCCTCCCAAAGCGTGGGATTACAGGCTTAACCACCGAGTCCAGCCGAATTTTTCCTTTCTTGTTTGATTTTTCTACATTTATAAGCTGGTACTATGTCTGATGTGACATGTCTTAAACTTTTGTGGTTTGCATAAGTTTTTTAACGTTCTTGATCATAAGTTTTAAAAAATAAAAACCCATTTACTATATCTCTAAGCATTTATAAAAGTAATTTCTCGCTCCCTTTCCATGACCTTTTTCCAGCTCTTTCTACTAAAGTGTGACTTTTTGTTCTTTATAACGCATCTTACAGAACCACAGGAGAAGTTGTTTCAGGTGTTGTAAGTAAGGTGTTCAACCAGCCTAAAGCCAGAGCCAAGGAGCTGGGCATAGAGATTTGTCTCATGTACATAGAGATTGAGAAAGGAGAGGCTGTGCAAGAAGAGCTCCTGAAAGGCCTGGACAATAAGAACCCCAAGATCATCGTGGCCTGTATAGAGACACTGAGGAAAGCCTTAAGGTGAGACTTTTTCATTTTGCTTTAGTTCTCTTAACCAGAGTATCTCAATTGAGTTTGGACTTCTGGATTAAACAGAAATGGAATTTAACTTGGCATGCCACAGCAGCCAAGAAAGTGACCTGAAAAAAAAGTCATTCCTCAAATATGGCACTTCTTATTGAGCAACTTTAGCTTTCTATTATGTTGTGTAGTTATTTTGTCTAAACTCCTTCCTATTGAAGATGATCAGAGAATATTTGATCTGTTCTCAGATTAAAAATTGACTTTTTGGTGGAAAAGCACTCCTCGGGATATTTCAGCTGCTCTTTCTTTCTTGTTATCTTCAAGTATAGACTTTCAAAGCATGCTCTTTGAAATCTTGGCTAAAGACATAGTTTGTTGGCTAAAGCAAACCTTTATTTAGATACCTTTTTAGTAAAGTAGAAGCAAATGCTATATGCCTTTAAACAGAAGCACAGTAACAGCAGATAGAAAATAACTCTGTGACGCTAGACTCGGTGGCTCAACCTGTAATCCCAGCACTTTGGGAGGCTGAGACTAGTGGATTGCCCGAGTCTGCGGGTTCGAGACCAGCCTAGGCAACTTGGCGAGACCTCGTCTCTACAATAAATAAAAAATTAGCTGGGCATAGTAGCGCACACCTCTAGTTCTGGCTACTTGAAAAGCTGAGGCTGAAGGATTGCTGGAGCCCAGTAGGTCAATGTTGGAATGACCGTGAGCGTGCCACTGCACTCCAGCCTGGGCAATGGAGTGAGACTCCAACTCAAAAAAAAAAAAAGAGAAGAACTCTGTGTAATAAATTATTTTCAACCCTAGAGTTTCTTGTTTGGCAATGAAATTTTTCATGGATGGAATCTCTTTGAGGAATAAGTGGCTATAATTTGCTATGAAAATCTGAATTAGATAACTAGCTTGTTCAGATTTGGCAGTTCTTCTAATCTGATATCCTGTCCCCAATACTTTCCACATGAGATACTTAAAAAGCAGCTCTAGGGAAATCCTGATGGAGTGAAGATCATCTCAAATCAACTTGCTTGTCATTTTGTGTATGACCTACATCTTGGAGAAAATGTTTTATTTGGTGTTTATTTTATGTGAAACATACAAAAACTCATGCATTTTGTTAAAATATCTTTGTTTTATGTCTTTTATATTGTATTTCACTTTGTTCATTAATGTTCTTTTATAAAATTTGGACTTTTACTTAGATCTTGTGTGATCAATTTCTTCTTGTTTCTAGGCTATTATGGTATAGTAGGTAGGTGTTTTTGTGAGTAGTGAATAGTATGTTCATTTTGTCATTTGTGACAAATATGAATAGTATGTTCATTTAGTGAATTGACTTAGTTATCAGAGCTATGCTTGTATCAGTAGATCTGTTGTGTCCTTAGTAATGTCTTAGTAAAAATATATTCTACATTAATCATCTATTTTTAAATTAGAAGTTTCTACTCTGGAATGCTATAAACTCTGGTTATTTCATTTTTAAGCTAACTGGGAGTATAAGGGTAGGAAAAGAACAAGTTAGATGTACCTTCTGTTTTCCTTGTGTATGTTGCCATCTAGGCCCATCCCTGTGGTTCTTTATTTGTCCTAAAGTATTTCTGAATCTAACTAGGAAGTTCTCTGAGACCCTAACGAATCTTGAAGCCAAATTGCCCTATCCTAAGTGCCAGAGCCTCTTAAAACTTTGTGATAGCCTTAGGTGACTAGAAACAATCTGTGGAACATGAAACAGGCTTCCAGAACCTTTTGGTTTTTTTCTGATGCTTAGTATCAAAATTAGGTTTAATTTTGTTAGGTATCTATTTTCCATGTGGACTTGTTTTATGTTTGTTTGTTTTTTTTCCTTTCAGAAGTAGGCCAGAGTAAATGAAAAAGAATCAGATGAAATGGTAGTAATGGAAGGGAAGATTTAAGAGATCCCAGGCATCATGTTAGGTTTTTTTAGGCATCAAGTTAAGTATCCCTAAAGTAAAATAGTTTATCATCACTATAGTTTTTTATCTTTCCTTCAGTTTTAAAAGTCAGCTGAACCAAGTTAAAGCATTTTTTTCCTGATAATATAAAGGTCATTTTAAAGGAAATCTTAGAGACCATGTAGTTTGTTTTCATGTTTTGATATTTATACTTAAACTGTATCACATAGCCGAATGTCTTGTTAAAAATTCCTTTCTAGGGAAAGTATTTTCATTCTTCTTTAATCTGTTGGAGTATGCCAAAATTATGAATAATTTTGTTGCATTTGTGCACATGAGATAAATTTGTACATGTTAGGTAGTAGATATATAATATATTTGGTCCTACTACTCATAGAATTTCAGTACTTTTTCATAACTAAATCTCCCCTGCCTCAGAACTTGTTATTCAGAAATGTTAATGATATCAGATAGCTAAAACTGGCCATTTGGGAACTTGAAAATATAACACGTTACAGATATATAAGGTTAAATATGCTATCCTTTGTAAGAGAAATCAGAATGCAACTATTTAATTTCCCCATGGAAAACTGAAGCCAAGAGAGATTTAAGTTGCCCAGAGTTACAGTGTGATACAGCTTCAAAGTCAGGAATGAAACACATACAGCCAGGATTCATAATCCATATAGTTGAGTGAATAACCTTAATTATAGGAACTATTAAAAGTTTATTAAAAGTATTTTACTCATCCAAATATTTATAAACTAGTTCATTTATATTTTTAAACTTTTATATGGATATACATATATGTTTAAGATATTACCCTTGTTGATCCTTTTTTTTTTTGAGTTGGAGTCTCACTCTGTTGCCCAGGCTGTGGAGTTCAGTGGCACGCTCACGGCCACCACAGCCTCAACCTGCTGGGTTCAGGCAATCCTTCTGCCTCAGCCAAGTAACTGGGACCACAGGCATGTGCAACCACACCTGGCTAATTCTTTGATTTATTGTAGAGATGAGGTCTCACCAAGATACCCAGGCTAGTCTCAAAACCCTGGTCTCAGCCGGGCTCAGTGGCTCAGCCTGTAATCCCGCGCCTTTGGGAGGCTGAGGTGAGTGGATTGCCTGAGCCCGCAGGTTCGAGAC